CAGTTCCTCAAGGGCCACTTAGGTGCCTCACACGGCAGGTGACCTTATTCCAACCCGCCCAGTCATGCCACAAGCGAGCGCGCTTGACAATCACTTATAAGCCACTGTCCAATCTCAGACAGTGAGTTGCAACATGGACTGACAAGGACACCGCCGTCAGTCCGTCCCATTGCCGTGCTTCGCCCTGAGGACCGGGGACACTCAGTGCGCTGGCTTTACGCCAGCGGCAACAACCACCCGAAAAAGCAACTCCGGGTTTGGTACACAATTAACTCTCCTCCGAGGGGCTTCTAGAATTACGTCCTTATTGTGTAACTACTTGGGGGATGCAAACAGGGCGTAATTCGAGGGTGACAAGGACCAACCACCGTTACAACAGCCCATACATCTGCTCTCCATTGTTAAAGTCCGTATAGAATGAAACAGCTCAGGGGCTTGCTGCTAATATCAACCAAGTTAATGAGAGTATTTGAAAGAGGGAAGTAACGAACTAGGCGTAAGGTGAAAGTGCGATTACTTGCGCCCTCGCTCCGTCCTAAGCAGATGAGGAATATGTTTGCAGGGTCCGTTTTGACAAAACCAGGCCAAAGGCGTGCAAACAGAAGCTATAGAGAGTAATCCTAATTCGGGTTCTCAAGCCTCAGTAAATTTAAAAAGAATGCTATCAGACGGTGGACTCATGTTACCAAGATACAGAAAGTAAAAGTCTTTTAGACTCACCCCAAAGCTACGTCCTTTTCTTCGACTTCAGCGAGAATTTTGCGCAAAAATTCGGCCTTCACCTCACTAGAAGAAAAAAAGTAGAAAGTCAGCAGTCGGGGCTACGAGGACTGTGCCAGCATGCAAAAGTCTCGTGTATCGTGTGTCTCTGCCCTACCTATACATGGAGCTCGCCTGAAGTGTTTCAAGCGGCAGGAGGTCCTTGAAGATGTCCTGACCGATGACCTCGGGGTCCGTGTGGTTGAATGGGGTGGGTTTGACTACGTTGGCCCCTGAGAGAACCCCAAAAAACAACAGGAGTAGTCGTAAGCCAGGCAGAGATGACAACGTATGATGTATGCGTCAGACACAACTAACTATCTTACCTTTAACGGCCTCCAATTCGGCCAGAGGGGGAGCGCGCTCGTGATAGATGGCGTCGTTGTCTTTGATTGCGCCTTTGCAACTGTAAAAACAAAGCAACGAGGTCAGAAACACTTAAAACTTTGACTGCGACGTGCGCCATATGTGGTACATGCAATGATGTCCCAAACTGCAACGTGCGCCATATATGGTACACGTCTAGGCCTAAAGTAATGCAGGTTTGAAAACGCCGCTTCAGGGGCATACAGGCTATTTGAGAGTCGCAGTCAAAGTGTTAAAGAAAGTATGGTGGTATGAAACCTGTAAGCTTGGACTTTCTCCTCCCGGTAGTCAGTATTGAGTAAGTTAAGTACTACAGTATGGCTGATGGCCGATTTATTTCTTAGCAGTTGTGTGGATTCAAACCTGGAACTGATGCAAGCCGTGGAAGCACACATACCAATCGTCGAGACTTATGCAAAGGAAGCATGGGATAATACCCAATGCATGCTCTCGATCGTGCACGCCGTTAGCACCAGGACTGATTTGATAACGACGAAGAATAAATCAGTAAGCTGCTTTTCGAGCTATGCTAACAACACAGAAACGACACCAATATAGTTGACTTATCCGATGCTGATCCAACCAGGGCTACTAACCAACCAACTTATCCGATACCGAAGCCTTGCGCAGAAGCAGCTAGGGAAGACTCAAAATGCTTGGATGATCTATAAGGCTGAATTAATCGGCAACACTAGTTAAAGTGGTACACCTCATATGTCCATAGTCCCGGCATTTTGTCCTATGGAAACGGTGGTTAGAGGGGTTTTTGTGGGTGGAGAATAAGGATAGGCAGTGGAATATACTTTAATAAATGCTATATGCGGCGCACAACTTCAATTTACACGTGCAACAACTTATTACCAGCCGCCGCGGGAAACAAATCCAACTACATTTTTTCCACTTTATATTTACTTTACAAATTTCCTTCAATGCCTATCTTATGTCCTCACCTCAAAAAGCCTTATTACCACCGTTTACGTAAGAAAGAATGCTGGGACTAGGGGTATATGAGGTGCACTACTTAAACTACTGTTGCCCAATTAATCAACACGCACGAAGATGAAACGATGAACTTCTTTGCATCCGCCAAGGTGGTATGTGGTCCTTAGGCCACAGGGGGGGAGGACTGTACACCTGCTCAGTCGCAAAGAAACAAACCCCCTCATGGAGAAATCGCAGACTCTGGAGCACTAGGCTGAGCAGTTCAGAGGTGTCCTCCATTTCTGCACAGCATCCGATGAAGAGAAGAAGAAAGGGAGGACTGAAACAGTTACTAGATCAAGCCCGGGGGGACGCCGTGTTTTGGTGGAGCACCTGTTGGTCATTGGGACGCCAGAGAAGGGAAGCATCGGAGCAACTGCTACAAGACTACCTCGAATGGAAACTCATCTACATTGACAGTCCATCCTCCCTACGAGGGGCTATTCAATCTGCCCAACAGATGTCCTGCACCGAAACAAACGAAGCTCACTCACAGGGGGTTCAACCTTACAAGTAGGGCGACCCTCAACTCATAGACGAAATTCCAGGCGGTATTCAGACAAGGATAAATGCCCAGGATGTTGAGAGGACGCCACCATCGACCACCCCCATAAGAAGGGGCACACTAGCTACTTCTTGACAAACACACCGAAGCATTTTTTAGCGCTAGCACACCAGGTCGTCTTCGTTTCGTACAATTTACATCCGTCTGACGACGACCTGGTGTGCCAGCCAACACCGAGGCATCTCCACTCCAAATAGACCGCAGGCTAGATCCTGGTCCACTTATCCTACTAAATCGTCTAAACAATGACTTCTCTCCAAAAGCCAAGATGTGTTTCGCAGGTAGCGCGGAACCACTGACATGATCTTCGCTGCGCCTCAAGAACAATGCCAAGAAATGCGAACCATCTTCGTGGTTTAACAAAGGCCTTCGATGCAGAAAAAAGCACGTTGGATTTTGAAAAATAACTTTAAAGCGTGGATGTCTAGACCGTTATACGCAGACGGTGCGGTCCGATTAAACGGAGCTGAGCATTACGCACAGAGGAACAGCACCTGAAGCGTTCGCGTGGTGACATGTGGAACGAAGCGAAGCTACCTACATGCTCCCACCCTATTCAGTCCCATGCTGGCTGCGATACTGGCGGACAATAAAATGAGAAGTAGTTTCTAGGAGGATTCACAGTGGAAAGAATCGATCGCTGTGGAAAGGTAAGAAAAAGGAGTGCCAATTTGTAACTTGCAGGGGGGAGGGGATTGCTTTTGTCTCGAGGCGCCTTGTTGCTGTAGTGGGGCCACCGTATTGCGTCAGTG